AGACACCTGTCTTTTCAAACCAAGACAGTTGTAAACTCATATGCTGGTTTTGACCACTGATGTTTTGATGATTTTAGCATACTGGGAGCTGTTAACAGGACGGTGTATTGCTTGAATGACTGCAATGAGTATCTGAGATCAAGCATGAAAGCTGTTTCCAAAATGTCTAGAATGATGGCCAGTCTTCCATTCTGTCACCATTCTAAAATCTCCTTCTCTTCCCCATTAGCAGCAGGACCCTGGGGTAGAGGCACAGTGATGGTCAGCCATGAGCCTGAAGCTTAGTGCAAGAGACCCACTGGGAAGTGGTTGTTGGCAGAAGAATGAATGGGTCAGCAATGGTGGCACAGCGAGCAGCTCCAGAGGCTGTTGAGGGAAGCTGTGATGACCTAGTACAGCCTCCTCCCTCTCCCCAAAACTGCCAGAAGCACACAGAGGGTCCAGAGCAGGTCTCCACTGAAAGGACGCAAAGGCATACAGCCAGGGACTATGAAAAACATCTTTTTTTTTTTCTTTTTTTTAAGCTGGTCCACACAGAAGTAACTGGTCCAGCTCTTGAGATGTGAACATGTGGAAGATAGTTGGGTATGCCAGAGACTGAAGATAATAGGCATCACATTAAAAGAGACTTCGTCATTCAGATGTAAGGAGACCATGTCTGGCTGGTTGTTCACAGGGTGCTGCATGACAGTTTCACAGTGATATGGAAACATGCAAATTATAGTAATTCATAACTATAACAGGAACAATAATAACTACAGCTGTTCATTTCTGGCACTGCCCACAGTGTGCTAAGCACTTTCCTGAGGCAGAACTTGGTAACACACCAACTTTGAGGAGTTTTAGATTTAAGGACATACAATCAGGCAGTCAGTAGCTAATGCAGAGAGCAGATGGGGTCACTTGGACAAAGCCTAACAGGTGATACCACAATATAACGATTTCCACTTATTCACTGCTGTCTCTCCAATGCAACAGTGAAGAGGAATGAGTATTTGTGAGGTGAATTCCTTCTATTTTTTTCTTATAGATCAAAAGCTGACAGGAAGAAAAGTTCTGTGATTTGCTGAGTTACAAAGCTTTTCTACAGCAGACCTGGAAGGAAATCAGAGAGCTATTTCCCTGCTCACTCAAAGCCCGAACAATCCACTGACAACAAAAAAATCAACAAAGAAAAAAACCCAGATCGATTAAACTATATAAACCCAGAACTTTGGTGATGAATCTGCAAAATCTGGAGGAGGACACTAGGGCACTTCCATCAGGCAGAGAGCAAATTCTTCCTGCAAGACATGATATTGCCAGGGAAATTCTGTGGTGTCTACAGGGGTCAAGTCAAAATCCCATCCCTGAGGCAGTCCCTGGCAGAGGTGGGTCATGCTTTCCTCCTTCCTACAAGTGCTGTCACCAGAACACAGCACTACCAGAAAGATTTCACAGCATTGGCCAAACAAGGCATTTCAGTGCTAAAACGTCAGTGGAGCATGTCATTCTTCTGGGCAGTATTTCTCAGAATAACAAAGCTCAGTGTATTATAGGTCAGTCTAAGTCCTCCAGACACTGAAGTAGAAAGTACCACATAAAGCCTGGAGACATCAGAGATTTCAATAACTAGAGTCTATCCATGGGACTCTTCCTGAAGAAAGAGAATTCACTTGTGGTTTGTTTCTAATTGGTACCCCAGGAGAATTATAAGTAGTAGCTAGCTATTGGTACTGAAGCAAGGAAGAAACAAATGAACTAATTCCAGTGTCTTTTTTTGGCAAACAGTTAAGAATGCAATAAAGTCTAGGGTTTGAAATGTAATGATTAGGGTAGAAATAACAGAAATGCTTTAATTACCTTGTTTTAAAGTATATATTGTAGAGGTAGCTGAGAAGTTTGTGGCTGTGACCACATTCTCTCTGTTTGAAGTATCAAGTTCCACCCGTGTCAGTTTTTCAACATCGCTGTGGAAACTGCTGACTTCCCCGGTCGGGAAGGTCGCGTTGGTCAGATGGCCATCGGAGTCATACCTGCAAGACATGATGGTAAAGAGCCATGAAAATACATCACTACTGTCTAGTAGATACTCCTAAAATAAAAAGGGAAAAAAGTAAGAAGCATTGTCAACACTGTGCAATAAGTAAAAAGGTAAGAAATGGTCCATTTATTCACTCAAAATGCATTCATTCCTTACTCCGAATCCTCGCTTGGACTCTCTCAGTGGTGCTGGATAAAATACAACTGGGAATAGTACGAGATGCTACCTACATCATTCAGCTGCTGCCAGAGGTTTCAGCGCTGCCCACAGACAGCGAGGGGTGTGATACAGGAGGGCGGCCGCTGGAGGGCACTCGGCCTTCAGGCAACCAACTCACCCCCAAAAAGGCGTTTTCCTACCCGTAAGTTTAAATAAAACCAATTCTTAGATTCTGTGACACTCAAAAACTGCCTTTTGTTGCTGATGCGTGAAGTACATAATATGAGTGGTGAATTTAAAAAGGGGACCTAAAGCGTAACAAGAGCAATAAAATTAGATTGAAGGCTGCAGCGATTAAGTTGCCTACATGGTTTTTACTCTTGTGTTACGTTTCCCACAGGCCTACTCAAATCAGCAGAAACTTCTCATCACAAGTAACAGCACCAGAATCTAGAGTACCACGTTTTAGTTCACCTAAATTTCATCAGTGCTAAAGAAATTCTTTTCGTTTAAGGTACTTTATGTGAAACAGGCCATGTTATGAAAAAGCCAATAATTAATTCAAAAGCTCTGGAGCAGTGTTTCTAACAGTTTCTTTTCAGTTCTACAGGTGTATTTGTTCTTTCTGATGGTTCACATTGGTTCTTGATATCATTTCATATTAATGCTTCCCATCTTAAAAACCTGCTTGATGCTAACACATTTTTATTCATCCAAGACACCTCACTGATACCACAGATGTATTTGCATGAGTAAAACCAACTCATGTTCATAAAACAGAAACCTATTTGTGCAGGTAGGAAAGCATAATTAAGTTTTCATGTCTTATTAACTGTCTCCTCTCATTGACAAAACGTATCCTCAGCTGCTGTATCAACCAGCAAAGCTCTGATGCCTCCAATGGAGCTCTTCCAATTCACATCAGCAGACGATCTGGCTCTGTCCTTCACTTTAATGCGCTGGCATCACTTCCTTAGGATCTTTATTTCCCCCTAATTAGTCAGACAAAATCTATATGTCACAAGAGGTATTGGTGAAAAAAAAATCAGGATTTTTTCTCTTCCCCCCAATATAAAAAAGAAAAATAGAGCAGCTGTTCTTTTCAAATGAAACACTGGAGAATGAACTACTGACCATCTTGTGGTTCTTTGACAAATAAATTAATCAAATGTTAAACACAGTCTCTCTCTCTTTCACCTCCTACTGCCCTCATATACATCATGCAACTTATTTACATTCTACCCTTATGCTTGTTCTGTGCAAATTGACTGGGTGCCACACTCAGCGATTAAAATTGACTCAGATCACTACTTTTCATCATTAGAAAACTCCATGAACATTGGGCAGTTATATTTCATTTACTGCTTGATCAAACAGATATGCCAGCTTGCTAGGTTATTTGGATTTGCTACTGTACCATAGAAAAATCCCCAAATCACGCATTTTTATGGCATAAATGCAGCAAGTTTATTGGAATGTACTTGTGCCCAAGACTCGGGATCCATCTTCTCTAAGTATCCAGTTTTGCTGCTGATAGTGGTGCTGATGAGATACAAAACTCCCTGTGTAGCTGAAAATGGGATAAAGTCTTACTGGATGGCTGGCCAGACACAGTACTGAATCATAATGAGACTACAGCACATGCCAATGGATTCTTACTCATGTAGATGGTCCCACTGACTTCAAGGAGAACATGCAGATTAGTGTCTCGGCAACAATTCCACAGTGTGACCATCTAAAATGTTTTTTTTATTCCAGACTGCTCCAAGAAACTCAACCCTCCGAGGACAGGTTCTGCCACCTTTCACATGATGAATAGTAGCACACTGGGACTCAGTTCCTGCAGATCAATGTCCTTCCCATACTAATAGGGGCAGAATCATGACATATTTCTTAACGTTAATTTGGGGCCCAGTTATGCCACTGTTAATCATGTCAGTGACCATTTAATCATGAAAATAATTGCATTGATTTCAGTACTCACATGAGGAAGTGCTCACCAATACCTGAAATGCACACTTGGGGATATAACTTCACAATCCATTTGCATTCCTACGTGTAGCGCAGTTAAGAGTTATAGCATTTCAAAGGGAAAGCGGTCTAATTAATTTTTTTTGGAGAGAGTTGTTTCTTGCAGGTGTTTTCTCGTCCTTGATTTAATAGAGGCCCAGTGCTCCCCCTCCCCTTTTACAGCTTTAATGATACAAAATTAAAAAAAATCGAGATGACTGAAAATTGTACATTAGCTATAATTTTATGCAAGAGCTCTTTCAGTACTTCCATTCCATCAGATTACAGTAGATGGATGACAAGTACTTTTGTAGGTGGTTTTCTACCTCTTAATAATTTCCCTCTGTGAGTGAATCTGACACATAGGTAGATGTTCTGAACAGTTCATTATCTTTGCTCATATTCCCAAATATGTGTGATACGTGTTGTTAAACAAATTCATCCCTATTTCAGCTTGACAGTGCCATGGGTTGAACTTTTGGATGTGAATGCAAATCTAGCTTAAACAGAGAAGACGATTTCAAGCAATTTGGAAGTTGTTCATATGATAATTCTCTTAGCTCCAGCACTATGTTCCTATATGACTCGGAAGCAATTCACATATAAGTAACCCCTTTGAAAAAATCTAATTTTCAAACTGAAATCAGGTGTCAGTTCTGAACGTGACCTATCCGGAAAATAACGTCTGGTTGAAGGATAACTAAGGACCATCACACCCCATGACCTATTTATGGCAGAGGGTGAGCAGCACCTCCTGAAAGCACATCTACTCAGCACAGCATTGATTACAGTGCAGCAGACTGGGTGACATTCTGTGTATCAGCCATTCAGGAATTTGTAATATATTACAAAGACGACTTAAAATATTGGACTGAACCCAAATATTAATGACGACTTCACTACTTGATTTTGCTGTTGTTTTTGTAATGCTGACAACTGTAATTCTGTTAATTTCTACTGACTGATCTAGACTGGCGGAAGGACATGGTCATGCAAAGCCTGGACAACCCAAAGCATCAGTGAGGACAGTGTTACCTAGCCTGCAGTGAAAGCTGTGAAAGTATGAAAACCAGTTTAATTTAGAAAAATTTCTTTGTGTTAGTCATAATCAATCCTTCCAAGGCACAGGTATTTCTTTGTGAAGAAATCTGTATTACATACAACGGGAAACACTCGTAAGCAGGTGAAGTCCTTTAAAAGATCTTCCCAAGCTTGAGTCATATTTCAACAACCAACTTGCCGGAAGACAACAGGAACAAGCAACAATTGTGTGAAATGGTTTACACTCAGTGTCAGTGGGACAGAGTAAGAATACCGAGATTGAGAAGCGCATGCCTAAAAATAATCTGCTCTAATGTGCCCCAACAATCAAGGCCCTGCAACAGCGCATGGTGTTGAGCATTTTGAGAAGTAATAGGCATGACTTGGAGCTACTGTAAAAGCTTTTTGAAAGCGTCATTGGTCCATGGTCTGGACTGATGCCATCCTCGAGTAGGGCTGTAAATGGATCATTCTTGGTGTGGAAATTATGACAAAGCAGCATGTATTTTAAGCCAGTTCTGCTTAAAGGGTAACACTCAGACCAGTGTTTAAACAACACCAGGACAACAGTGAGCTTTGTCTTGTTGCAAGATAATTTAAATTTGCCAACTTCTTAAATTTGTCGACAGATGCCTGATAACGAGAACTGAACCAGGAAGGCCCCGTATGGTTTTGTTTTCCTGCATATTGTCAAAAATGGCCCTCTCTAATGGTTCATACTAATGTCCACCTCACCAATTTAGTCTTTGGCAGAATAATGGAGGGCAGGATGGAAAAACGCCCCATTGAATACAAAAATCCAATGAACTAGGCCATAGTTTTCTCTGCTTTTATCCTACTTTTATTTTAAGAAAATATAATTCTAAAACCCTGTAATGATGGTGACTCAGCTGTCTCTCCAGGTGACCTCTGGAGTAACTTCTTTCTCTTCAATGTATCTTCTGTTCATATCTCACCTGGATGGCTCTTCATTTTAGTTTTTGACCGTGCACTCCTTTGCGCCACAGAAAGCAGGCATTATTATCCTCCTTGAAGACTCTGAACTAGTACTGCAATGTTAACATATGATTTTCATCCATCACTTATCCTCAAACCAGGATTATGACAAGTAATTATAAATAATGAGAAATCCTGATACATCACACCTCTTTATAAATCAAAAATGAACTTTCTCTTACTTGTTCTCTCTCTGGGACCAGATCGGGATGTTCTGACTGCATCTTTAACTGTCTTGTCTGTCCTTTAGAAGTCCCGTCAAAAGACTCCTGAAGGTCTTGCTTACGAGGCCATTCCTACTCCCCTTATATACAGCCTTTTGCTAGCACATAGCCTTTTGTTATTATATATCCTCTTCCCCTCCTGATAGACACAAGTTCACTCTTGTCTGTGAATATTCCTTTCGCTGAGATTCTCAATTTCCTTTGCAACACCCCCTTCTCCAATGAGTTTGCTAATTTTCCCCTTTTCGCCTTCCTCAGGAATCTGCAAATTCCTGATTCGTATCACAACTTGCCTCTACTTCTTCAGTTACAAAAAATTCCACAATCACGTTTTCATTTAGAGAAACAAGTTCACAATAATAAAGTGCAAATGAGTGTAATTTCGGGCTGTTTCTGCTATACTTAATGGGCACTACGCACAGAGCTTTAACATATGACAGGCTTTGGCATTTAAGAAATGGTAGTGCTTGATTTTAAAAGTTGGTGCAACAGCACTACTTGTCCTTTCCCATGCAGTGTTAGTAGCAAGGTATCTTTTTAAATTACTAGAACTGACTAAAAAAATGCCAATGTTCATTTAAAACAGGGTTCCTTACATCAGGCATTTAACTTACTCATACACCGTTGTCCATCCATTCTCATCGCTTTTGGTTGCTAAAAGCCCCGTGTTTCCAGGATATGTCATCAGAGCCAGGTTGTAGCCTTGGGCATAAACTCTTTTCAGAACCCCATTGCTGCTTATTGTCAGCCAGTACACCTGGCCCCCCGGCACCACGACCCACAGGGGCAGCCCACTCGTGTCTCTGCGGATGTGAACTGAATTCCCATTGCTGCTGGTGATGGTGCCAATATCCCCTTCCCCGCTGTAGGTGAAATTGTAAATGTAGTCCCTCGTTATGAGGTTCAGCGTGTGCAGGTGGGTGCCGTTGATGGTGAACTGATACAGTTCTTGGTCCGCTGGTGATGCAATCTCATACATATTCGTGTCACTGAGGTGAGCCTTGTTTCGGCTGACTGCACGGATGCGAACATTCCCAAGGTCTGCTACGTACAGCGTGTCATCAGGAGAGACTGCTAGAGAAGAGGGGGCTTTCAGCTTCGCATCTTTGGCATATCCACCATCACCTGGAGGCAAAACAGTAATTTTAATAATCTGTAATGTCCATATTTAAGCTGGTCCCCTAAGCCTGACACACTGCTTCTCCTCAGTATCATTTACAGGTCAATAAAACAGTATCTTCTTCCAGCTAATTAAATCCCTATTATCTAAGGTTGGTGCAATTCTAAATTAGTCTCAATGAAGACAAACAAGAATATAAATTACCTAATTTACAATGTTTTTGCTAAGGCCAAAACCCTGCTGCTCAGGAAATCTTCAATGGCAAAATTGTGAAAGAAAAAAAAAATGACACCTGAAGTTTCATTCCCTACTTTTTGTCTGTTGGCGTGTAGCTGAAGTAGAATCATATTATAAATAAAACAAAAAGAAAATAAACCCCAGTAATTCAGTTAAAATGATAGCGAAGGAAAGATTAGTTTATACTTATAAAAACTAACACTACAGGAAAACAAAACAAGAACAATAGCCAAAAAGCGCCTTGAGAAACCACCTCTTCCAGTATCACTCGGTAATTCACCTGGTTAGTGTATTTTAAGATTTGAGGAGGATATTTGCATTATGATGGGCTGCATAAGCATATCAAAATGACTTTACATGAGCAGGATTTTCTGTAACTAGCCAGAAAGCACATTAAACCTCATTCTTAGAGAAAAACACATTGCTGTTTAAATTGCTCCCCTTCTCCTGACTGAGAAATCAAATTTGCTGGAGAGTTTGAGCATACCCTATGAGTCCTTGGAGACTGACAAATTAGCTGATCTTTCTGCCAAGCCAACCCTGCCTTTCACCAACCCAGCCCTGGCACAATCATTAGATTTGCCACAATTTTTTATTTTTCAGCACTGAGGATAGTCTCCCTCAACAGGAACCCTGAACAGGATTCTTTTCAGCACTAGACTACCATGGCTGTAACTGAAGCTGGCAAAGCACGTGAGGCAATGATTATCTTCATATTGCTGGGTCAGCAATCCACCTTCTCTGGAAGACCATTTACATTTTTTTCTCTCCATTCTTGACATAGCTAATGTTTTCTTGTCAGTAATTAACCTTTTATTTGAAATGAGAGGCTTAAGAATTATGATGATATTATGAAACTGAACACAGTGGCTCTTAGAGATGACAAGATGACAACATACTGCACACCTCTGTATATGGGAATGCTGTCCTCTGTCCCATTAGGAAATCTGTTTTCATAAAAAAAAAGCCACAATTTGTTTTGGTGCATGCAGGGGAGAGGAGCTGTGTTGCCGAGAATGTCCAGTGGTGCAGTGCAGGCCTGGCACTGTCTGTTCCAGTTTAAAACACACAAAGAAGAAGAAATTCTGAACATTATGTATTTGCACCATTTTGCTGGTTGTGCAGCATGACACAAGTGATGATAAGGCATAAGGTAGTGTTTTTCTCTTGATGTGAAACACTTTGGTACTCTTCTTGGTGAGGAGGACTGTCTAATCCGGTAGCATTCAGGTGCAATCTGCACTGGGGCTAGCACCACCTTCAACATGGGCAAACACAGCTGACACAGAAAGCAGACTGGGAGCTAATTTCGCACGGTGTGTGTAATCTCTGTGTCAAAAGAGGAAAAGGTAAGACCACCCTGAGGTTCCTCCAGGGCCAGCTGGAAGACTCATGTCTCTGAATCCAATGGATTAAATCCACAAAGAGCTGCTGATAAGGTTTTTGGTTTTCCAAGGAAACTGAATCATTCATTGCTTGTCTCTCCTTCCCCTTGTCACTTGGCTAAGCTGCCGCTGTGCCAGAGGATCTCAACAGACAAGAGACCAGAAATAATGACCATCTCCTTACCTGAAAAGCAGTCACAATTAGGATCAATCTTGCAGTCACAATCTGATGGGGCTCCAGCGATTATAGAGATCTCACCGTTGGTTGTGACCTGTTGTATACGGTTGATCTTTCTTTCATCTGTCTCTGCAATGTAGAGTATGCCGCTGTGAGACACGGCGATCGCCCTGGCTGACTCCAGGGTCGAATGGATGGCCACCTTGCTGACGATGAAGTGGTCGATGCCTGGCACCTGGCAGTGAATGGGGCGCCCCGCAATGATTCGCACACGCCTGTTCTCAGAGATCTGCAGGACAATGTTGTTGTCCAGAACGTACAGTGAATTGTCTAGAGGGTTCACTGTGAGGTCTGTTGGCCACTCTAATCGCACCTGCAAAGAAAAAAATTAAGGGAAGGCAGGAAAAAAAAAAAAACCAACAGAAAAAAGAATGACTAAGACAGTAAGACAGTTTCATTCAACCATCTCTGATCACCATGTCATCAAGGCACTCGGTGGATTCACCCAGCCAGCACTGCTTCTCTAGTATGTACCCTCAACTGGGTTTGGCAGAAGTTTCAATAAGCATACTCTTTTCTGAGGTCCAGCGTGGAACAAAACTTGACTTGAAAAGTAATTTAGCACCCTTGGAGAAGTATTCACACAAGTCCATTAAGGTGGGAACTTTATTATACCTGCGCAGTCATGCAAATAAAAACATACACTTGATATCATGCAACATCAGCCAGAAAATTTTCCAGGTCTGAACGTTGTTGTTTCAAGGTTGCAGTCAACGCTGGCAGAGTGAAAAACAGTTAGAGGTTGTCAATGTCCTAACGCTTTAATTGACTGTTAGTACAAAAGGAAAATGACATACTAGAAGAGTACAACACATTTCCACAATTTATTTACTAAGCAAGAAATGTTAGTAAGACTTATATGCCAGAAGAGAGATAAGCTCATTCTTTGTAACATAATAATACACTGCTTTATCACAATTCACATGATACAGTAGCCAAGCCATAATTATTTATGATGATTTTGCTTTGTGAATTCAGTATTTCACTCATGGATTAAGTAGATTCTTCATACTTAAGGTGAGCTTTTTGCCTTTTTCCATGCAGGTGAGAGTGCCAACCAAGCAAAGTTTCCAAACCATGCTGGAGGAAATACTAGAAGAACGACCTCACTCATCTGATACCTGTTGCATCAGGATCTGGAAGAATTAAACATGCTCCCAATTTAAGGTGGGGCTGCCTGTCAACCTGAAAGACAACCAGTACGTAGGCTGCTGATTGTAGCATGTACTGGCCAGAGCTTCAAACTCCTCCTGTTGAGAAAGCTCAGTAGGCAATGCAGGATTGTGGAATTGGGCAACAACAACAGAGTATTCTGGTCCCTCTCACCCACTAATGGCCAGTGGAGGATTTGGACTGCAGCTTGTCTATGGAAAGGTCAAGAGAACAACTGAGCTACCGAGATTGCAAGACAGCCTATTTTTGTCTGCCTCGGGATGCTTTACTTGTTATCCTTCGTGAAGAGATGAAGGCTTTTATCTAAGAGGTATTTTTCTGGACCAAATATTTCAATCATCAGAAAAGAATAAATACCAGGCTAAAATGTAATGGTTTTATATGCTTTCTGTGTCGCAGAAGCTTCTATTCTTTCATTTACTGATTTTGTTGCTGGTTTTGCTCATTTTTCCACTGCGCTAATTAAAAGATCCACGAATGTAGACACTGCAGATGCTAATACAATGCTCAGCGCTGAGAAATAACATATGGTGGAGTGTGTGGCCATCGCAAGCCACCTGCTCGCCTGGGGTCAGCTCAGGAACCAGGCTGGAGGCCAAGTCTCTCCCTTTCTCAAGCAGCAGTATTTCCTGAATAATCTCATTTCCAGAAGTACATTGCTGGTTTGATAATGGATGTTTTCATAAAGTGGGGGCATTGCGGCTACTGTGTCTTGTCCTGCGTGGTTACATGGTGCACCACACAATTATGAAGGCTCACGGAGTAATTGAATTCCTCCTTGTGCCCAGTCCATTTTACTAGACAGCATAACTGGCAGTAAGACTAATGCTGTTGGGTTCAAGTTCTCTTCTGAACCAGGTGGTAGAGTCCTTCCAAATGATGATAAATGTGGTGGAACAGTTGGAAACAGATTCCTCCCATAAAGGTGCTGAATTCTGTGTGTGTGTGAGACTGCCCAGATTCCACCCGCTGCGGCAGAGCTGGTTTACACATTCCTGTTAGCTCATGCTTCAACAGAGTTCACTGGGACACCAAATAAAACTCTTTGGTTAGCATAAAAATCTCTACAGGGCTATCTTCAGGGAACTTGGAAAAAAGACATATTTACAATGTACCTCTAATGCAGAACATACGATTGCTCTATCAAAGGAAATAGGTTACTTTTAATGGGAAACAGACACCTTCAATTTTAATGGCCTCCTTCACAGATTGCTGTGCTGCAAAAACAATCTTTGATTAACAGTAACTAGATCATTAGTGATAAAAACTTTGGTCTGAAACTATCTACTTTTGCCATAATGACTCTGCGTAGCACATGCCATGTTTTAAGAGCTGTTTTTCCTTCGTGGACCAGGCACTCTGCCTTTGCCCAGTGAATCACTTGAACTCCTTCCACTGGGAAGGTATGCCTGGTGTCTTGCAGTTAACCAGGTACTGGTCTGGGCCAAAACAACATTTCCTCTGGTTGATTTGAGGCTGATTTGGTTTATTGAGACAGAAAAAACTTTTATGCAGCTGTCCATTTCACTTGCAGCAATGTGCCTAAAGCTTAGTCTTAACAGCTGTTAACTGCAAGCACATTTGCTTTCCTACTGATCACGTCTGTAAAATGAATAAAATTTGAGTTGGGAAGATCTAAACGATCTTGTTACTACACCAGAACTGTTGCCTAGCATTCTGCTCTGCAAAGGTAACAGAAGGTACAGCTACAGCTTCTCTTTCCCAGGTTTAAAGCAGTCATGGATGTATTAATGGTTTAATCCCAGGTGAAATATTAAAGCTAGCATGTACCTGTCTGGAGATTACAGCATAACAACCAGCTGCTGCTCACTGCGAGCTTACACTACTGGAGGGGAAAAAAAGGTGAAATAGGCCAATTAAAATCAAACATACACACAAACACAAACCCCTGAGCATTCCTAATCTGAAGAAGAATTTCACAGATTTAGAAAAAATCTGCAATGATTTTGTCAGGATGAGGCTCAATGGCATCTTAAACTGGTGTAAACTGGGGTTGCTGCAGTCCCACCCCATCCCTTCTCCCAGTGCAGCCCCCAGCAGCAAGGCCAGTGTCTATGTGCTCCTACAGAGAGCAGGTTCAGGACAGTTTGCTGGCTAAAAACTAGTCACCTAAATCAGCTTAAGCTGAAGTGTAACTGCACCCTTAGGTTCACTGTTATCTTGAAAAGTCACTGGTTGTTTCTTTTCTTTTAAAGCAAGCTGCTCTCTGGCGGGCTTCTGTGACCAAACCATCAGTTGTGCTGCATTCAAAGCCAATGAACATATTACAGACAAGCACTTCAATTCTCATCTGATACGACTGTGCCCATTAAAAAGTTTTTCCAGGCAAAATATATTAGGATTAGAATATTAAACCAGTTAATAACTTTTTAATTTGAAGCAGTACCTCACAAGCCCCTGTAAAAAGTCCTCTCTCATCTACGTATATTTTTCTTCTAACTCAAGATTCAGCCAATTGCAAGTGTTTTTTTCTTATATTTAATGGGTTCTCTTTTTGAGCAGTGGACAGAAATGGCACTGCTGATTATCCCATTGTAAACAGAGAAAAGGTTTGTTTAGTAGCTGTTAGTACCTCACACTCTTCATAGACTGAAATTTTCAGGTGATAATTCTGGTTTGGTTCATGGAAGACTGAGTATATGCAATGGAAATCACTGCTGAAACAAGTGAACCCCTGAGCAATGAGACCTTTTGCACATAATTATTAACATGTCAACTTTTCTGGGAATTCAGCATTTAACTGTCAACATAAAGGCTCCAGCTATATCTAATAATCAATCTCTGGTTTGAGAAGTGCAAAATTAACACCTACTGGTCTGGCTTTCTAATACATTTTTTCATGTTAAGTGTTCTGGAAAACACAAAGTGCACTAAGGTGGCTCCAGTTTAAATGAATTTTCACTGGGAGATCTACATTTAGGTAGTTAAATAGCTCTCAGACCCAAATGGTATTTTTTGTGTTTGTTTCTTTCTTGCAAAATACATATGTGCTTGTATAACTATCTATTCACCTACCTGTCTGGTTTTGAAATATTTAAATATTTTTCCCGCAGCAAAGTTTTACAACTAAAGAAATAACGATTTTTTGGCAAAGTAGTACTGCTAGGAGAGCCTGCACTCACATACTTCTTAAACATACATGCCCGCACACATACACACATTTAAGTGTTAGTTTGTGAAGAGTACTGCTACACTTTTGGTTTTGACCATATGGCTAAAACTTTCTGCACATTATGCATGACATTTTACGGCTGTGGCGTTTTTGGTTCTATTTTAAACAAATCAGATCAAACAAATCCTACCATTCCTATCAAAGAAAGAAAAGTAAAGAAGGAAAAAATTTATCCTTGTCTGCAGATGTTGGTTTGAAGAGCTTAACTGTTTGGTTGTGGGGGTAAATTTTGCTGGGGTAAGTTTCATTTATCGTGGATTAAAAGAAGCTGCATAAATCCCTAAGAAGGCTTCACCATTGCTTTGATTTCTTGCCATGCGTTGCTTGTGTATTTTGATTCAATTTCATGTAGTAGCATGAAATTCATGCCAAAATTTTTCTGATAGTCCTGACTGATGGATTACTTCCTATCTGTATCGCTCAGCTTCAAGCACTTCTGCTTATGCTACCTTTGCCTTTATTCAGCTCTATGATACGCATTTGCAGACCTGATCACAGCCTCTTCCATATTTTTCTTTGGCTGCTACATTCCTTTTTTCCTCTCCTCTTCTTTATGCTCACTTCAGCTATTGTTTCCAAGCCAACCCCTTTCACTCACCAGAATGTCCTTCTAAATAGCGTTTTTCCTCTTCCTGCCCAAACCCTTCTTTCTCCCTCCTTCTGGGGGAGAAATAGCTCTGAGGAAGGACTCACACTGCTGGTCCATTAGGAGTGAGTGCGTAGTTTACAAGGCTGAAGGAGACTGGTTCTGCTTCCCTGAACTTTTTACAGGATGTCTCACTACATGTATTTCTCTCTATTTTCTCACAGTTGACAACCGCGGATTTTTTTCATCATTTTCTGTCAGTTTGCTCTCACTTCTGGGCTCTTTCTTTTGTTGACACTGACACTGTCAGGTCCTCTCAGCAGCTTGGCTTCTTTCTTAATGGCACACAGAGACACAATTC